ATGTCCGTTATAGTGGCCGCGGGTGTCCGCAAGACGAGAGTTGACTGTACTTGTTACATTGATTGCAGTAAAATTTTACAGTTTCAGGTGCGAATCGCCTTTGCTTACTGAGAATCGAACTGCATGAACTTGATTGACCGATCAAACCGGCGTCATGTGGTCCTGTTACATACCTGGTAAAATATTATCCATTGCTTCGGAAAACCGGAAAAGGTAAGCTAACGTCTTATGACCTATCCTTTAATCAGACGTCTACCTTGGGAGCTTGCCACTCGAGGAGACGGCTGAAATTCAGTCTGACCTATTTCAATGATGAATTGTTTCCTGTGGTTTTTGTTTTTGACAGGAATTTAGTTTGTCTCTGATGAGATGCTTTTTAACCTTTTCTTTGGCTCTGAGTGGGGGACCAGGACGTTTATAAGATAAACTTGTTCTGGAAAGAATTAACCTGAGATCAGGCTCTATTTTCGTTTCGCTTTGATGAGAATCGCTAGAATTGGGCCTGATCTCAGGTTAGGAAAGAATCTGCTGCACTCTTCCAGAGTCTGCGAATGCACATGATTTTTGATATTATTTGTTGTATGTTTGAAATAAATGAATTGTAGTTGGTGCTATCTTTTTCTGTGTTTTAACTTAATTTTGTTTTGGCCGATTGCCACATTACGAATCAAAAAAATTGTTAAACTTCACTGATTTCTAAGAAGAAAGGTTGAACACAGGTTTTTCTTCTCGTTTCAGGTGTATTGCAAACCAGAACGCTCTTTATTCGAGGTGTTATTTTCTAGGAAAATTGCCGATTTACTACACATGCACGGAATAAGCTAATTAAAGCTAATAAGTGCCTTTTTATACTGAGATCGTTAATAAGGAGGGAGGATTATACTCAGGCAGGCAGAATTAGACCACCTGTTTCAAAGTCGTTATCCCAGATTTGACGTTATCACAAGACACAAATCTGGTCAAAGAACGATCAGATTACTCCTATGTTAATCGGGTAATCTTTAAATATAACTAGCTAGTTTTGTAATTGGTATTTTCTAAATTAGATAAAAAATTTTAGATTTTTTTATTATTATTTCAGTGTAATTTAGCTCTGTAATTATTACAATGTCACTTAGTCAGTCAAAATGGGAAGTTTTGTCACATAAGGGACGGACCATTAGAAAACCTATGGGGGGGGGGGGGGGGGGGGGGGGAGGGACAAAAAAATATTCCGGAAGGGGGAAGGGAAAAGAAAAAAAATTTAAGGAACACAAATAAACCAAAAAAAGAAGGAAAAGGGGACGTGGGGGAAAAGGGTGAAAACCGGGGGGGGCCCGGGTATTTAGAAAAAANATTCTACAATATTAACTGAGCCTGAGGTAAATAATTCTTTTAGCATATTCACACGAAGTGATCTCAGCAGAATCAGAAAGGAAACCATTAAAAAAACGATCGATTATTTTGATTGACGGGTGAATTCATGCGTGAACACGAAGCCGTAAACAGTGGATGCGCAAAAGTTAGATCTTTACAGTATCTTCAAACATGGCAAATGATAGTTTTAATCTTTTTGTATCGATTTTCGTAAGCAAAAAGCATCAACGGTTTAAAAGAAAACGCCGAAAATTTAAACTACTACCAATTCTGAAAAGAAAAGTAGAGCTTTATTTGTTTCTGTCAACTCACCGTGAATGAGAAAGTTTTTTTTTTATTTTTTGTCGCTTCCTCCAATGCTGTCAACAGCGGCTACGATCAAGGTGAGAGTTGTTTATCTACAGTGTTCTTTGCCTTGTTGACTTTCTGGCATGTACAATTTTCGAAAATATTTGCCCTCCTTTTTTCTCCATAAATTAACTTCTATTTATAGGCAAAATTGGTCTTGAGAGAAAATCCCGAAGACACAAAACAGTGACAAAGCCGCCTCGTTTTCCTCTGTAGGGGTAAACATAGCTTCGAGAGTACAAAAAGCCACCTACAGTTAACCACTTCACAATAAATCACGCTGTTTAAACACCATGAAGTCTTTTCTAACCTTCAAAGTCATCAACACTTGGATATTTTTGTATTTTCAAAAAGCTCTTACTATCAAACTTTGGCAAGACACCCAGTTCACGACAGCGATTTTGTTCTGCTTTATATTCACCGCCAAGCGCGGTGAATATAATGTCATAGTCCGAGGTAGCGAACCAATCATATTGCTCGAATCACCAAGATCACTGAGTGTGTATACTAAAGAATTATATTATTATTATTAATTCTACTTCTAGTCCGAGTTCTTATTCGGATCCGATTTGGAAAATGAGACCCGGATTCTCAGAAACCAATAAACGCCCTATACTACTATATCAATCAATCCTTATGAAAATCTATTTCTTTTGTTATTGCCTGGTTAATAAAAAATATATTATCCTAGCTTAATCAGTGTAATATTAATTGACAGTGAAGTTTGAAGCTGTATAGGATGCCACAGTTTTTAAGTTTTTTCGTAAAATGTTTCCACTTCGTCTGGTGTAAATTTATAATTACTTCCTCCTGCCAGAAATGTCTGGGTGGAGGTGCTTCCATAGCTGTACCCACTTGGTGGCCTGTAAACATGACCAGGGTAAGTATAGGAATTGCTATTGGATGACGCGTAGTCGGCAATGTAAAGATCATGGCTTCCTCCGAAAGTAAGACGAGCAATCGTATACGGCATAAGCGTAATTTATATACGCAGGAAGTTTCACAGGTGCCAATCCTGGCTTATTAACCAGCGAGAAAAGGAATGCCTGGGAATCATATCGATACTGGCAGCTGTAACCTGGTGGAAAAGTAAGAAATGAAAAGAAAAATCTGATGTACAGACTTCGTTAAAAATTCGAATCCGAACAGACAAGAAAATATACTGATACCACTCATAGTAGTTAAGTAATAATTAACTCCCTATCAAGTATCAAAGACATCAGTCTCGTGAAAAGTTTGTTTTTAATACTAAGTTTATTCTTACTTAAGCATTTACTTTTGGAACGAAGAAACTGGTACTTATTTAAAAAGCTAAACGCCAAAAAAATTGAACAGAGTGATAAATTGAAAAATATTATTCAGTTGTCGGTACCCCGATATAAAGGTTTGGTTTGTTTAATTGTTGTTTACTACCGCCAAGTGGAACCTCGATATGACGAATTCCTTGATACTACTAACTAACGATTTTTTTAACCCGAGTTGTAGTAAAATATATGGGAAAGAATTTCAATGAACGAAACCTCGTTATATAGCGAACAAATGCCGCCGGTCTCTTGGCCTTCCTTCGTTATGTTGAGGTTCCATTGTACTTCCAAATTAACTTCCGAACTACCCCTGCCGTCTTGGTCGTAGTCCAGCTAGCTTAAAAACGCTGAGGTACGGTTTTGCTTTTTGGCGACAAAGGACATGAAATAATTGTGCAAGGGAAACTTGTATGAGTGAAAAATAAATAAATAAATAAATGAAGAGATACACACTTGTAACAGTTGACACTAGAGTAGCCCCCGTTCTCAGAGTATGTTGTTGGTTTAATTGTCTCGGTCTTTGTGTAGCTTTTCTAAATGCACCTATTCAGGCTGAAGCTTTTCACTCATAAGTCATTATCATTATCATCATCATCAAAATCACCATCATCATTTCTTTTATTTAAACACTAATTTAAAGATTTAAAGCTCAATTCGTGAGGGACCGTGTAAATATGATTACGATGTAGAACTAAAATGAAAAATAAGAATAAAATTACTTACATTATACATCTACAACAAAAACCCTAAAAAGATACGATAAGATTCTAAATGAAAAAGATACAAAATGTATTTAAAAGATATAACATACATTTCCATTAATCATCTATAAGTATTTGACTACAGCATTAAAAATGTAACTGAAATAGTTCAAAAAAGAACATTTAAAATCGTGGTAGTGCCTGGGCATCGACTGGACTGATTGTGCGCCAATTAAGTAAAATGAAGTGTGCGTCATACAATAGGTGAGATAAAAACAAGAAAAGTAAGATACCATACTATTATTCAGGTTCATATCAGTATACGTAGCTTTGATTAAAATACTCTCTCAGTTTAATAATTTTTTGTTTTTTGTTTTTTTGTTTTGTTTTGTTTTTGTGAACTACAGCAAGAAAATACTTAATTAAAAGTAATTTTCACCTTCTAACTTGCACTATCTACATACAGTCTTCATTTTAGTTTTAAGGTGGCCCGAACCTATTTATATGCGCGTTGGTTATGTTTTTGAATCGCGTTTTTCGGCAGGAATGATTTAACAGATTTCCATGACTTTAGGTATCCCTAATAAAAAGTGGTGGAACTTTAAGAAAATGCTAGTTATTTTCTTATAGGTATAAAAACGTTTAAGATATGGGCATATTTTTAAAACCGCATTTTTACAAAAAAAAATGGCAATAATTTCAAAACCCTAAGACAGATTTTTCTTTAACTTCGGCAAATAAGCCCCAGAGCTCTCTAGTTTTATCTCTGCAAGTTTGAAGTCAATCGTGACCATAGAACTCGCTGCTCAAATAGCTGGTCAAATTAAACTTTAAAATGCAACGCTAACACATTTTTGAAAGTTAACACACAAATAGAGGACAACTGCGGCGGACTATCTCCTATCTGCAAGGGCATTCTAAGCGCTTTGGTCAATTAGTGGAGTTAGCGCTATATAAATTATGTTATGTTATGTTATGTCATTCTTGCCAAAAGCTTCAGTTGCAAGAAATTGAGTAATTAGAAACCTATTGCGAATATAGTTCGCAATACAAGAAGAACAACTTTGCGCTGAATGCGGGGCAAGATAAAATAACTCCCATTGATAATGATAATAAAGATAATGATAATAAATAAAAAAATTCAAAGATCCCTGAAAGCTATAATAATAACAATGATATGTTATGCTATGGTAAAATCTAAAAAAAAAGATGAAATTCGAAAGTTCCAAACTAAATTAAAATTAAACATTACAGCTATTCCAACAAATTAAAGAAATGATTTAAGTTCCTTTTATAAACGGCGAGGCTGCCACTTGTTCTTATAGTTAATGGCAGCGAGTTCCATAAAACAGGTGCAGCATGAGCAAAGGCCCGATCCCCAAGTGTAGAGCAGTTGACTTTTCAAGCTTTTGGAAAGAACAGAAGAGATTGTGCAGACGAACGAAGAGTATAATTAGCAGCTGGTTTCAGGGATAAAAGATCCTTAATGTGGGATGGACTTTGATTGTGTAGTGACTTGTAAACAAAAAGGAGCAATTTGAACTGAACTCTAAACGTTACTGGAAGCCAATGTAAGTCGATAAGAGCGGGTGTGATATGATAAAATTTTGCAATCTGAAAAGTCACTCTAGCCGCGGCATTCTGGACTTTCTGTAAACGATCAAGCTGATATTTAGGTAGACCAAATAGAAGAGGGTTACAGTAATCAAGGTGCAAAGATCCAAAGACATGGATCAGTGTCTTTGTGGATTGCACGGTAAGGAATTTTCTGATCTGTCTTATGTTGTATAGTCCGCGCAAAGCCTTGCTACAAATCTTGCCTACGTAAACCTTTATTCGCATATGAGCATCGTACCAGGACCCAAGGTTCTGGACGCTTTCTAAAGGTTTAATCACTGTGTCACCAATGATAATAGATTCAATAGATGTTTTTTCAAGTTGCTGACGGGTGCCAATAATAAGAAAGTCAGTTTTCGCGTCATTGATCATTAAACGATTTCCAATAAACCAAGAGCGAACATCAGCGATGCACTTTTCAACCACAGAGACAGCGTTAATTTCCGAATGGATAGAACAAGGTCGGAAGGATGTGTTTTGACGTTCTCGTTGGATCTTAAAGTCCCTAATTACGTTGGTTCGCGCTCGAGCACTACTATATATATATTGAGAAAATCTCTTACTCATAGTCGTCCTCGTCTTAGGAAAATACCTCATACCTCATACTTCGGCTCATCCTCGGTGTAAGAACCTGTTAAACCCACAAGTGACGTAAAACACAGGAAACAAAGAAGTCAACACAATAGAACGTAGGAAAACAAAAGGTGCGAAACAAAGAAAAAGTTCACAGGTTCTTACACCAAGGTAAACCCCATACTTCACAAGTATGAAATCTTGCCTTGTTCAGATAGTTTTTTTATTTATCAAAGTCACTGTGTATTTTCCCTTATCTTTTCGCAAAAAATCTCAACAAATCACGATATAAGATCTACGGAAATCTCCTACCAGTTTTTTAAGCACTGAAGGTTCCGGTCTTGAGCAAAAATAAAGCCATCAACTCCAGTACTTCAACCGATCCATTCTCAGCTGCAACGAAAACCCTTGTATTAGGTAATTTATTCAAGTTTGAAAGATTTGCCATCACATTCGCACAGGCATTTTGCCATTGGGGATAATGAAAAGAATAAGAGGATTGTCATATTTTCTTCATCTTTATCCCCAAGTGGCAAACTTCCCGTGCGAATGTGATGTCAAATCTAAAAACCTTGAATAAATTACCAAGTGCAAGGGCTTTCAGTGCAGCTGAAAAATGGAGGGTTAGAAGTACTGGAGTTGGTGGCTTTATTTCTCCTCAAAACGGAAACCTGCAACGGTAAACACTCTAGAGAGTTTTTCGTAGATAATATAATTAGGTTTCCTAAAGAGAGCTACAAATACAAAGTAAGTTTGATAAATAGAAATTCTTTTACCCTGCCCCGCATTCAGCATAAAGTTCTTGTATTGCGAACTGTATTCGCCGTATGTTTCTGATTGCTCAGTTTCTTGCAACTGAAGCTTTGGGCAAGAATATATACCCTTGCAGATAGGAGATAGTCCGCCGGCAGTTTCCCTCTATTCGTGCGTCAACTTTGACAAATGTGTTAGCGTTGCATTTTAAGGTTAATTTGACCAGCTATTGGTGCAGCGTTTTCTACGGTCATGATTGACTTCAAACTTGCGGATATAAGACTAGATATCTACAGCTCTGAGGCTTATTTGCCGAAGTTAGAGAAAAATCTGTCTGAGGGTTTTAAAATTATTGACATTTTCTGTAAAAATGCGGTTTTAAGCATATGCCGATATCTCACAGGTTTTTATACCTGTAAGAAAACAAATAGCGTTTTCTTAAAGTTCGACCATTCTTTATTAAGGATGCTAAAAATCATGGAAATCGGTTAAATCATTTCTGTCAAAAAAAACGCGATTGAAAAACATAACCAACGCCCATAAGGTTTGGGCCACCTTCGGAGTAGGAAAGGGAAGCCTTTAATTATAGAAACTTAAGCCTTGGTCAATTCACACGCGCGTTCTAGTCATTTTTATTGATTATTTAAACTACAACGGCACTCGAGACAACAGTGCGGAATACTTTGCCTGAAAAACACTTTAGCTTTAGAGAGGAACAACTCTAAAAAGAAAATACGTCGGCTCAGAATTTAACTGACGCCGAATTCGTTCGCAGCGCGAATACGATGTAAAACGTCCTAATTTTAGTTTTATGGGGTACGTGAACACAAGACAACGATTTTTTTTTTCTAATATTTGGCAGAGACTTTTCGAATTTAAACTCAGAATAATTCACCTCGATTTGGCGAATTGACAGTAATGGGATAAGGGCGACAAAGTTACGTGAATGCACTTTTTTCAGTCCTCTTCGTGGTAATGTCATTTTCTACTTCAAATACTTCCTTGGACAATTTTAGTTGCTAATAATGCCCAGTTTTAGAAAAACCACTTACCCCATGAGAGACTAGTGTAGCCTCCAAAAATGTATTTCCCGCCGACTCTTATGATTGTTACAGTTGGTCCTTTGTTGTCACATCCGCTGTGAAAAGTACTGGCAGCCCAGCCATCTACGGACGCCCGCCAACAACGTTTCCATTTTGAAGATTTGCTCTGAGCAACTGGTTTGAGCCACGTGCTTAAATATTGTAAGTAGTTAGCATCATTCCCCACAATAGTAGACTATTTCAAACCCCCTACAAAAGTTAGAGACAAAGTTATCACTAATTCATTTACTTTGGTTCACCACTTCTCGGCAGGGTCACAGCAACAGCGCGTGGGGCATATTATACCGAGGGTCCATAACAAACCCGCCTACCATGGGAGATAGAGCACAACACCGGAGAATGCGTCCCCTACTCTTTACGAACAGAGCGTGAGTTCTTTAAAACGGTTAGAAGACGGGGCCTACGGTTTATCTTCCTTGTCTGAGAAGACTAAAAAGTTTAACCATTTGCAGATGTCTTTTCAAAGGAAACAATTTATCCTCTCAGTCAGCGATTTAAAGAACCTGAGTCGGTGGACTCGAACAGACCCGGGAATTTAAAAACTCTTTTTCAATGCGAATCGGATTCTTACAAGGAAAAATTATCAATTTTCGAATGACTTCCCTCACAACAAGAGTCTAAAACTAGGGGTAATAATAAGGCTGAATATGTAGGCTGCGTTGCCGGCGCTTGGAAGTAGTGGGCACAAGAAAAAACGGGCGCGCGAATGTGTCTCCCTCGCGCGCGCCCGTTCTCTCTTTCGCCCACTACTTACAAGCGCATGCTACGCAGGCTACCGACTATGCAAAATATCAACCAGGCCACCGAATTAAACTGCGAACTTTAGACTCGTAAGAAGGAGGAGGATACCATGTCGCCTGCGCAGCTACTCTTCTCCATAGCGTGTCGTTTAGAATGGGACTTTGGGAAATCATAAAAAGACACTCGAAAATTTAGACGTTGCATGTAAGCAATAGAAGCTATTAATTAATTTAAAAAAAAAGAAGCTACTGAATGATGGCTGTTGAAAACATAAGAACTCCGCAATAAAAGTGAGTGATACTAGCACGCCGCGTATAGCCCGTTGATATCCTATACCTATTTGTACATGTTGGGTTTCTTGTATAACGCTATTAATTATTCGCAATTAATAGCCTGCTCAGTCTTTTCGGTGTTTCGTATACATTTCTTTACACGCCCCACCCATTTCTCTGCATTGAAGAACTCTCTCTTTACCAGGAGCTTCCCGCTCCAACCGCCTCCGGCTGGGTCTCCCCTATATTATTGGAATTATGGGCATTGTTTGCTGATGGCTACAGTGAGAATAGATTACTATATAAATCAAGTTGCTGTTAACCATTAACACGGAGTGCTGCAATTTTATATCTGATCATACTTGCGTAATTGATAAGCTCGCACTCAAAGCCATCTCCAAAGTAGCCTTGATCACAAGTGCAATTAAATGAACCACGATAATTTGTGCAGCTGGCGACCTGATCGCAGTAATACTTGTCCCTACTGCATTCATTCAGATCTGTTCAAAATAAAAATAAAAAACTATAGATTTATCACGATTAACACACCAAAATGCGTTTTGTTAGGTAGACTTTTCTTCTATATTGTGCATTCCTAAACTTATACATGACATATCTTACCTTTCTTACAAGTATACTGATGACAGTCACTGCATTTCACGTCATTCCATTCATATTTATATTCAACACCAAGTGTATGCACACAGTCTTCATCCCGAAAATTGTTCGGTTGGTTTTTGGCCCAAGCTGTAGAGTTCCCAGAACCACGATCTGCCCAAGTAAAGGAGCCCTCTGTAAAAATATCATTCAATCCCAGCCAGGATTTTGCTCCATTGTGTAGATGCTGTAAAAACACATTTTCTTCGTTATTTTGGACATCAACAAGAACCGAGTTTTCTTTTCGGCATTTATTCAGTGCTGTGGTCCAATTTTGACAAGTCTTACTTGTGAAATAGCAAAAGCCGTTGAAATAGTTCCAGCCAGGTTCACAGATGTCTGCGAAATACAGATAAACGTAAGCGTCAAAAATATATACATTCAAATAAACTGCCCGATTGATAAATCCTTAGCAGCATGTCACTCGCAGTACTGTTGGGAGCGTGATGAGAAAATGTTTTCCAAAACTTAATGATTTCAAGGTACTAGTAAGATATTATTGGACAGAAGACTAGCGACAGGGATATACCACTCGCATAGAGATAAAATATATCGAACTTTTATGTACAGACTGTACTATTTTAAAGAAACAGAAAATTTAAACGATGGTTTTAAGCATGGTGCTTTTAATTTCTAGCAAGGTCTTTTATCCTCGTTATTTATCCGTTAAGAAAACTTTTAATTAAACGGTGAAATTCGTCGAGGGGTAGGAAAATTATAACTTGAAAGAATTTCAAGAATCCTTTTTATGTCAACGGGTACACTCTCTTGACTCACTTGCAAAACCATCAATTTGCATTGTGTTATTAGTTTAGGGCATTTCCAAAGTATTTCCAGATGAATACGGTAACAAATAACGTTTCGTTTTTCATTTGCTAAAAACTACTTCATAAATAAACTCAGTAGTATTACAGACCTGTGAGCACGGCATAACCGACGGACAAGGGGTCATATCTATTCGCGTATAATTCCTTGACACAGGCTCTGAATCCAGAGGTATTCATGTTCTGAAAAAAAAATATTAAGTACTCAACGTAGTTTAATACAGCTAAAATTGTAGTCATAAACAACTGAATTAACAGGAAGAGAAGAGCAGAATATTTTTAAAACTTTCTCCTAAGTCTTCTTATGTAACATAGAGCTGCGAAGATTCGCCGTAAATTAACACTGTGGTTTGATGAAAGTGATTAAAGAGCGCTAGTTAATCAAAAGAAGCTCTAGAAATAACAAAGGTATGAAAAAAAAAATATGATGAATTAACGTTGACTTCGAAATTTTATCGAAAATATCCTTTTTTACCCTAATAAGGAGCACG